AGGGATGGGATATATATTTATTTTACATAGGTTAGTCATAGTAAGCAGCGTGGAATTTTCTTTTCTCTATATAGCTGCTTGTCTCCAGTGTTCTGGGACAGTCGAGTAGATATCGAGATCGATTCTTCGACATAAAGGAATTGGGACAAGTCGATAGAGACTATTGAAGACTTGTGTGTGTGTGTGTTTGCCATGTTTAGTCCATACGTGTATTCCTCAGCAGAGTTTTATTGATTTGTCTTCTCTCATATCTCATCTTCGCTTGTCAGGTCATCTGATACTAGCTGGCTTATTGAAGATGAATCTTCAAAGATTATTGTTGATGAAGACAGATTTTAAACAAAACTTTGTTTAGTATATTCTTTAAATGAAATACTCCTGAGTGTAGATATAGACAAGACTGTAAGTCACAAATATTATATTGAAAATTCTCGTAATGAAATATGGAAATAAACAGAGACATCAGTTTCAAAATGTACAAAATTGCTTGACGATCAGCATTGCCCTCATACTCATCTAATATTATTAATTATATAACCGACGAAGACATCAATATAATATCACATCCACCATATGCGCCGGGTCTGGTACTATGTCATTTTTGGCTAACTAATTCTATCGAATGTAGTTCAACTGATCAAATAAATGGAATATGATTAGCTCATGCAGTTTCCAAGATACCTAAAAACTTTTAAAAAATTCTTAAGAAAGGATCAAACTTGATATAAATACTCATGGCAACTATCCTCAATATTTGACAAAATTAAATTAAAAATATCTCCTTATCTTTATATTTTCATTTAATGTTTTTCAAAACTTTTGGCAAGACCTAAGTATACTTAGGATGTTCGAAAAGTTCTGGCCACGGTATTCAAAAGACTTTGTCGGATAAGATGACCTATTCAGAAATAAAAAATAAATATACCATGTTGTAGAGCTTTTTGAGGCACGTCGAATGGTATATAGTAAATTCTGTTTTCATAAGACTTTGAAAGAAATTAGAGTGAATTTACTGATAGACGACTACACATACACGACCATCCATATTCGCACTCATACTCAAGCATAAGTTAATGAATATTGTGGGCCTCGGTATTAATCGAAAGTATTTGTAAAATAATTTTTCTCACATATGATTTTGTAGAGTATTTGATGGGTTATGACCTCATATACGTTGCATCTTCAGTCGTCTTATAGGTGTAGGCATAGGTGAGTGTGAGTGTGGGTGGGTAGTAGTCTATCAATAAACTGATTCTAGTTCCTTCAAAGTTTTATGAAAACAAAATTTACTAGATACCATTCGACGCGGCTTAAAAAGCTCTACAACATTTATTTCTGAATATGTCACCTTATCTGACAAAGCTCTTTAACTACTGTGATCAGAACTTTTCGAACGCCCTAAATATTATTTCTATATTTTGTTTCTCTAGAAGTAAAGATTATAAATTTTATTGGCAATCAGATCGACAACCTTGCCCATATCTTCGAAAAACAAATTTTAAAACAGTTAAACATGTTCTTATTGATAGTAAACGAGTAACAAATAATCAAGGAAATTATTTTCCAAATACTACTCAGTTAACCATTACAAATAATTTTGAAACACTTGATGATTTTTTTCCAATAATTCTCAATCGTATTATCCCTGTAAAAAATCTCACAAAAATAGTTATCGAATCATTCAGTTTTCCATTGGAACAAATAATCAATTTAATACGATTTACACCTAATTTACATACATTAAAATTTTATTTAATTTTTTTAAAAAAAATCAAAACAAATATTATTGAACAAAGTCAAATATTTCAATATATATCAAAGACAAATAAAATAAAATACTTAGATCTTCATGATGATTGTTCATTAGAAAGAATTCAATTAATTATGAAATTATTTCCAAAATTAGAATCTATGAAAATTGGTATGAAGAAAAAAGAAACTAATGAAATTGCTCGATTTATATTATCAAATAATAATATTCAAACAGGTCCTTTAACATTTTTATGTATGTCACAAGTACCAAGAAGATGTTTGAAAGAAATAAATATATTAATTAAATCGGAAAACTTAGTTAATGATTATTGTATTAAATATTTTGATCGTGATTTATATTTATGGTGGTGAAAATTTAGTTGCTTAAAATGTATTTTATCTTTTTCTTTTTGTATATAATCGAGAACTTTTTAATAAATAGAAGAATGAACGATTAACTAGAGATGGTAGAAATAGCAATGACATACTCATTTATCGTGTCACCGCGAGGAATTTTGTCGTTTCTCCATGCGAAAAAAGATTCACTTTCTTTCGCATAACATCATATCACACAGAACGACAAAAATGACTTGCAGTGTTTTGTTATTATAAAGTATTATTCAGCACTGATTACATTGATACTCTATGCAGTGATATTTTCATGTCGTTATTTGGATCTGTTTTCTTTCTATGTTTATTCATCTCAAATTCTCTCAATCTATAATACAATCTTTAAAATTTATTATCTTTTATCAAATAATTATTTTATTGTCATTCTTATTTATGATTTATTTCGAAAGAATCCTGATAAATCTCATGATACTTTTTCAATCTATACTCATAGTCTAAGTTGGATTACCAATTTTCTCGATAATCATATAGAAATGGATAAGAAATTCTTTTGGCAATTTTCAATTATTTAATGTCGCGGTTTTCTAGAAACTAGGTTTTTCAGCAAAAATCTACAGAATCGTCCCCGTTTCTCAGACACAGTAAATCCGATCGAGCTGAAATTTTTTCTACAGATAGTAGAAACAGTTTAGTGGACCTACTTTTTTTTTTTTGTTTTGAAAAATATTGTATCGTTGAGTTTTGGCAGATCTTACAAGACAAGCACTATTCAAAAAAATATCGGTTTTTTAGGGTGCTCTTTGTATTTTGGCTTTTTTATTCGAACAGTACGAGATAGAAAGAAACCAAAAAAAGTAGGCACTCTAAAGTGTCTCTACTATTTGTAGAAAAAATTTCAGCTCAATCGGGTTTACTGTGTCTGAGAAACGGAGGCGATTTGGGAATCGATTTTTTAGCCATTGCAAATCCAATATCTCCTAGAAAGAAGCTTTCGGATGAGCCGTTCTCGAGAAGCCCCGGAAAGGGGGGGGGGGGAAGTCTCCTTAATTGAGTTTAATCTATAAACAAGAAACTATTGACAAAGCAATGACATATTATTTGATTATGTCAGGATCTTAATGAGCATTTTATATTCTCAATTGGATCTATCGTTATCATACAGAAAATTTTTGGAAATCGATTAGTTTCTTTTGTGGATGTATTCGAATAATTAGTTATTTACACTTTTTTATTCGTATCTATCCATATTTGAATAATGAAAATAAATAACAATCAATTGAAATCACAAAAGAATCTATCAACTTTTAAGTTGATACCAAAGAACATTCTTTAATTCATAACATTGTTTCAAATATTGAGACTCAAAAAAGAAATCTGTTTCATAGTTTTTTGTATGTTTTACAATGTATAAAAATAAATATTTATATGTACAATGAATAAGTCATTATTGTATTAACATGTATCGTCAATCGTTGAACGGCTTGTGTTGCTCTGATTGGAATTCTTAGACGATCGGATTGCTCCTGCTGGATTGATTGCCATGAATGTTCCGCGCGCCATTCGCTTTTCTCTTGAATCAGAACAGTTGTTGCTCGCATTTCTTTCAGCTATTTCAACTTCAGCATAAGCTAAATAATTTCATTTTCATATATTTATTTAAAAAAGATTTATTACTTACGAGATGATTCGTTTTTGTTGCTGTTTCTGTTTCCCATGTAATATCAATGGTAGACACTAGAACTGTATTGAAAAATATTTATTATTTAACGATCTGTCAATCGTATTTAAATATATATGAACGTCATCTCTAATATACATACGTCACCATGAAGTGAAAAAGACGTTTGTCGAATACGATGATGTAAAAAAGAAAGACAAAAGCTAAAAAAAAGAAATGAGTAATCATCATAGAGAGTGGTAGCAAATGATATGTGAATGATAAAATAAAACACAGTCTAAATGTGAAAAAGTGATAAAATTAATTTCAATTTGAATTGTATTGATAGTCCAGAGTCAATGGATTAGTTTAATAATCATCTATTTGAATTCTATCGAAGCTTAAAGATTAAAGAAAATGATAAAGATCAGCTGTGGTAAAATATTTTTATTATTTACAAATTGAGACTAGAACAAAATGGAACTTGTTATTACCGCAATTATTTTTCTGATTCTTATTGCAATGATGATTCCTTCAATCATATGTTCACTTTTATCTTCTGCTATTCAGATGAATTATTTCAGCTTGATGTTGAAAAAACTACTTGACTTGTTTTGATGAAGGCGATCACAGACATGCCCTTAAAAGTACTTGTAGAATCAATTCTAGTGCTACAATTCAAATTTTATGATGAAACGTAATCATTATATTTCATACAAAAAAAAACAGAATTTTTTGCTGAAAAAATTTATTTTTTAATTAAGAATAAAAAGGATCTTGTTTAATGAGTAAGTTGTAGTAAAATTAATATTTTTTCACTGTTATAGTTTAATGAAATTCTTCTTCGAATTGTTCTATAAATAAAATGTTGGTATTAATTAGAAAACTCAAATCTAACTTTCAATTGTTGAATTTTGATATTGTTGATATTTACGAACTGTGCCAAACATATTGAATTTAGCTTCAATAAATTTCTATAATACAAAATCCAACATAAAATATTCTTTATCAAATTGAACAAATTATTTCATCCATTCCTTCACGAATATACGGATGCACAAAAGCTAATTGTTTCGAAATACGTTTAAATGAATCTTGAATTGCTGTATTATTTCCTATAAATATATCGAAATAATTTTCATATGTTATAGAATTTAATTTTTATACCAATAAAAATAGCTGATATTTTAAATCGACAAGGTGAAATATGACAAACAGTTGTTGTTATATTATTTGAAATTCAATCAACAAAATAGGATGAATTTTTATTTAAAATATTTAACATGTGTTGATCAACTTCTTTCATTGATATTCGATCATGAAAAATAGTTGGTTCAACAACAATTTCCGAGACTTTTGATGATGGAATTACATTGAATCTCATCATTATACCTAACAATAAATAATGAAAATGTTTATGTGAAACTTACAATCAGGAAATTCTGTACGAAGTTTTATATGAGTAAAATTCTCATACCTGATTCAATTCTATTGTCAAGTGAATGACACATTTGAAAACCTTGAAGGCAACCACATAATTGAGTTTCTTTACGAATTTTTCAAAAATTCTTAAAAATTATTCGAGTAAAAATAATTGTTTTTTTTTTCTAATTTACTATAAATGAAATTATTTGATCGAAATAGTTGATCAAACGGATCACTACGAACTGAATCTATAGTCTTTCGTTCAAGATTGATAAGAACAACACAAGGAATATATTCCATTTCTAAGAGTAAAATATTGTTTTAAATATATCTTTTATTTTAATAAAATATTTTTACTCGTTGTTTCATTATAATAAACATTAATATGTTCAAGTTGAAGATCGGAATCACTATGATATATACAAAACTAGAATAACAATTCATTAATGAATATTCATTTCTATAAACTTGAGCAAAAGTCCATGTCTGTCTCTTTTATTTTTGGATTTCTCTTCATTCAACTAGGTGATTTTTCCTGAGATTCGGATAGAAAAAAAACTTTTTATCTACAATTATATTCATACTTTTGAGCCAATTTGCTTTCTACATTGACCAAAATGATATGTTTTTTTCTTAAATACATGGTTGATGCAACAAGAAGAGGACGAAACCCGCCCCCCCCCCCTTACCGTGTGCCTTCTACTTCAGTATTTCTTGTATCAATCGCGTGGAAGGGAAGGAGCAATTGATGGAAGAACAAGAACAGCATCTTGCACTCGATTTCGACTTTAGCAACTCTCTAAAATAGTTGAACTCACTGAAAAGAAATTTTCTCTTTAAGTTTTATAAGTCTTTCGTTAAAATAATATATCTATGTGAAAAAAAAGAAAATCCTAACTCGTTATCCTTAAAAATGAACTACTAATCAGAGACAACTCGTGTAAAATATAATCTCAGAATTCTAGATATACACAGATGTTAACATGCGCAGCACTTTCAATTGACAACTTGTTAACAAAAAATTCTTCTCTTATTTGGATATATTGGGTGTTTTTCATGCTCTTTCAAACAAAGACAAAAAAGAAATTTCGACTTTATATCGTGTTGTAGTTGACTTTCGCTGAAGATGCGTCGTGTGACCACCATTTGGAGAAAAAAATGGAAAAAATTTTTCGTTTTTTCAAAAAAGACCTATTTTTCAAGTAGTACATGACAAGACTTATCAAAAATTTTGCAAAAAAAGACAGCATCGAAAAGAAAATTCTAGCGAAAATGGACATTTTTTGAGGGGCCTTAAAAAACAGTTTTTTGCAAACTTTTACCACAGAATTTTAAGAGGTTTTACAGAAAGTGTTTGAAATTTTGGTTGCAGCTGGACCTTCCACTCCTCCTGATTCGTAAGCCTGAATGTGTCACTATCAAAGGAAGAACTTAGCTGAAATGTTCAAAATAACAAAGAATTCTTTTGTTCGGTAGAAGTATAATGGTGATATATTTATAATTTTTCTTGAATAAAAATTTATTAAAGACGTTTTTTTTTAAATTGAAATTCAGCTGAAGTACTAAAGATTTTTTAAAATCTGCATGGTTTCCAGCTTACTTCAACATCGGTGATGGGTAATGATATAAGTTAATTACAGAGTTCTCTATCTTTCACATCTATTGTAATCCGTTTTCAGTTATATCTACCTTCATCTGTACAATTGGTATTTAATAACATTATTAATGTATCTTACAGATAGTTATCGATCTGGAAGTAAGGACTCTGTAATCAACTCACATCTATTGCTTCTTTAACTATATAAATGAGAATTCATTCGAACGAAAATTTATGATATTGATTATCTAATATCATTCATTTTAATAATCATCATTATACAAATCATTTATTGAATTATTAACATAGCATAAGAAATATAATTATTACAAACAAAAAACATCACATCTAATAAATCTTCTGTAATGTTCTAAACAAAACTACGTCAATATGTTAAGTACTTATTCTTCGATATTTTGTACATGACAAGTGAACACCATAAGTACCTAAAATAAATTCATAAAATTGTTATATCCAAATAACGATCATTACTATATAGATTTGTATCAAATATCATTCTCTATAATACAACGATTTTTGACATTTATTACAAAACCCATGAGGATCTTTTCGACGTACATCATTATAACAAAATAAATAATAATAATTTGATGTATCATCTGATAGAAACATTCGAAAATTTTTTTGAATATGCTCCATTTCTTCGTATTCACTAATTTTGCACCATTGTTTCATCCAATCAACAAATTCTTCATCCTTACGTACTTTTTGATAACTTGGAGATTACATGATAGATTGATGTAATTTCTCCCGATCAATCACTTTTAGCATGTTTGATAAGCCATTTTGTAAAACAAGAATTTGCATTATATGCACCATCTTCACCAAAAAAATAATTCAGATAATTAAACATATTTTGACAAGATGTGCTACATCCACTACCCAATTTAAAACAACAACAAGAACGTTTTGAACATCTTCGACGACACTGATATTTGTCTTTTTTTTTCCTTTATTTGAATATCCTTCTGTTATTTGATCATTGTTTCGATATGTATTCTGTTGTTGATCTTCATCGGAATCTTCGTCGTCAGTCCACATCATCTATAGAAATAGACTAATAGAATTTTCTGAAATGAAATGAATAGTTAGATGTTATATCTCATCCATTGAATTAATAAATATGATATTATACAAATCATCAATTAGAATATTTCGAAGAAATTTTGTCGATTAGAATCAGAATTACCTTTTATGGATCATAACGAAAAACTCATTAAAATCTTTTCAAAAAGACGAAAATGTATTCTTATTGACGATATATTGACTTGGTAACTATTTTATAGTGTCATCTTTTAACAAAAGAAGTGAAACCTAAAAATGCGAATTAGTCATATACAGGACAGAAGATCTTGTCCTATGTTCACTTCTAGTTCCCATATAAAAAAATTCTAAGGAAGAATCAGATTAAAGTCGATCATTACTCCATTAGAAAATGATGAAAATGACACAATTTTGGTCTGATTTCAATCCTTTGACCTATTGGATCGATTGTGAAAGTACAATCGATTAAAGTAAATTTCTGAAAATCATCTCTTCTGCTAAATATGTGAAAATTGAAAAGATCGAAGCATCAAAATAGTGTTTTTGAAGACAGATGTGTCTCGTCTATGGTCTAATGATAAAAGTTTGGTTTGGAGTTCCCATAAAGTAGTGAATAGAGAATATACTAGATCTTAATAGTATCTTGAGAGAATTTCATAAAGAAGTTTCGGTAGTTTTTGCATACATCAGTTATTGGTATTTCGAGACAGAATCTGTACCGAAAGATCAGATGATAACAGGGTGTGGGTGTGGGTGGGTGTGGAACCCACACCCACACCCTCATATCTCAAAGGTTTAGTACTCCATTGACACCTTCTGGTACTATCATAGTAAATAATTTCGTTAGTTCAAACTATGGTGAAGCACGAAATCATCGTCTTGCTCATTTAGTGATGCAACCTTATCGATGGTGGAGATTTATTCTTGGACCAAAACAAATCATTCAAATAGGTTTTGATTGGTATATTTCAATCTTGTACTAGTTTTCAAATAAAACAGATCTTTTACATATTTTATAAAAACAAGAATATTTTTTAAATTTATTATTATTCACAAAATTTAAATATAAAATTTTGAATATGATCAAAATTCTATTGCTATTTGATTGGCATTATGTATAGAAAATATTCAGTAATGAAATTTTATTTTAAACATTTATTTTTTATTATTTTATTATAAAAAAAAATTTTGTTTTGTTTGCTTGAATAATTCTTAATTCTATTATCATTTAATATGAATCTCTAAAATATTATAGAAAAACTAGTGAGAAACAAAATTATATCAACTTATTTTCCTATTTCTATGGAACGTCAGTCGAATATTTATCTTTATTAAAGAATCATAAATAGTAATTGATATGTAGTCTCTACGAATAATATGAACAGCTTCAAAATGGAAACTACTGTCCGAAATAGATCGATTCGATGAGTTCATTTAATGAACATTCTTCTCGCGAGTAGTACAAATTGGAGCTTTTAACTAAAATAGACTTCAACAAGACACAAGTGGCTAGAATTCTTGATTTCAATATGCTTTCAATTCGAATCGATGTCACTTGTAAGACAAAGTTTGAATATTCCTATTCTTCTATAGAAATTCATCGTAGTGTTATACTAATGATTTTTGAATTAAAATGAAACTAGTGATCTATAATTTTTCTTTTTTTGTCTAATGCGAGAATAAATATACATAACATACAAAGTAATTCAGAATTTTGATGTAATACTTTGGGCATTTCAATATCATCACCACCAATTTTTTTGATTCCATTCATTAAATATTTCAAATATTCAAACATATTACTTTGCTAGAAAAACAACAGAAAATAATGACTTATATGATCTGAAATAGATTCTACTTGATTTTGTATTATTTGAACTTGATTTTCAAGTGTTTTAATTTTATTTATAAGAATTTCTTGTGGAGAATGTCTAAAGAAAATTTTCTTTTCTTTTTTTTTTTATTAAATAAATCAATACATACACTCGTTCTTCATTTAAATCAGTTGATTGATTAATTTCTTTTCGATCAGTTTTTAATGAAAAAAAATAAACTTCATTTCCTAAAGCATCTTCAATAGATTCAATTGTTTTCGTTAACATTTCATCAGCAATTATTTCTACAAAAAAACAAAAGTCAATTAAAACATTTTTATTTTTATTAAAATTTACTAAATTTCGATCGATTCGTATGTTGAATATATTTTTGATAAAACCATTCGATTTTAAATTTATGTGAAAAAATATAGATTATTACACGATAAATATGTGAAAATATAATTAATGGTGGAGGAAGTGATGGAAGAGTTAAATGATAACATACATATGAATAATGTTGAAATTTCCATATACAATCTGTATCTAATTGTAAACGATCAAATGTATTACTTTAAAAAAAAATAAATAATATAATATTTCAAAATATGAAATAAAGATAAAAGTAATACCTAAACATAGCGATAAGAAGATTAATTAAAAGAACACTTGCTACTGTCATATAAGCAATTAATAATATAAATACAACATAACCAGTTATTTCATAGTTTTCTGAAAAACAAAAAAGTTAAGATCAAATTTTGAATAGAAAGTCTAATGTGTGAGTCACTTTCAATATCGTCTAGAACTTCTAATTCACCAAATATTTGCCAATAAGCTAAATTTAAAATAGCACGTGGAGTATGCCAAGAAAATTTTTGAACACCATAGAGTAAACTATATGTAGGTACACCATATGTTAATATGAATATAGTTAACATTAACATGTAAAATTTTAAATCATAAACCTTTTTTTTATAAATATAGAAATAATAAAATTGAATTAAATATATTTTATTTACCATTTCACCAATCATAACAAGTTTTGGTCCAAGTCTTTTTACAGGAGAAAACATATCAAGTGTGGGTGTGGGTGTGGGTGGGTGTGGGTGTGGGTGTGGGTGTGGTGTGGGTGTGGGTGTGTGTGGGTGGGTGTGGGGTGTGGGTGTGGGGGGTGTGGGTGGGTGTGGGTGTGGGGTGTGGGTATGGGTGTGGGTGTGGGTGGGTATGGGTGTGGGTGTGTGTGGGTGTGGGTGGATGTGGGTGTGGGTGTGGGTGGGGTGTGGGTGTGGGGTGTGGGTGGTTGTGGGTGGCGTGTGTGGGTGAGTGGGTGTGGGTGTGGAATCGATTTAATCACGCGCACACCCACACTCGCCCACCCACACCCCACACCCCACACCCACACCCACCCACACACACACCCCACACCCCACACCCACCCACACCCACCCACACCCACACCCCGAATCAGTAGTAATTCCGTCTGATTCCGATTCCATCTGATTCCCGGAATTCCCTTTCGAAATGGCATCCAATTCGGGAATCGGATGCAATTCAGGAATTCGAAGGAACTCGATCGTTTTCGAATAAGGCGGGTTAGTTGGACGATTTAGAATTCCGGAACCGGATGGAACTGATTCCGGGGGCGGAATCGATTCCGCAATGTGCATCTTCGCGGAATAGGATGTATTCTCCAGCAAAATCATACAAATCAATTGGTTGCAGCAAGAGAACGAAATGAAAGAAAAATAGAATCGGCTATACATTTTGTGAAACATGATCTGAAAGAAGTGTTGAAGTGTATAGGAGCAGAAAATGGCACCCTTCTCTCCACGAACCTCGACAGACATGTGAATTAATTAACTAATCACTGCCTAATTAATGAGTTATCCATTATAGACAGCTTCAGGAAGCTATCGAAGATCATCTTTAACTAGCATATTATCATTCGAATTAATATGAAGTATTCGTTTGTTGAAGTTCAATACCCTATAGTAAACAATGATGAGGGAATACGCCCGAATATACATAAAAACAGGATCAGTTTTCTAGGCATAGGAAACAATATCTAGATCGTGTTTCACATTTTAATGTCACAGAGATTGCGCTAATAGCTTTCCTCTTTGTTGAACTTGAGGGTTATACGAAAAATACGACAGTAATAGTAGTAATATTTTGTTGTTTCTGCAATCAATTGACTGGCCCAATTTTTATTGATGAATAAAAAGGTCATCTTCATTGTAGAGGTTCAAACAAGCGTACTTATCGTTGGCCTGCCCATGGCAGACTATGAGGGTGTGGGTGTGGGTGAAGAAGACATCATACCTCGCACCCACATCCACATTTGATACCCACCCATACCCACACCCAATCGAATCGACTTAGAAATCCAATTCATTAAGAAAGACTTGTTCTTTTTCTTGGAAAATTTCAGGTCTATCAGACTTGCTTATAGGCAAAAATTCAGATCGAAACTATTGATTTTGAATTTTTCGGAAATATGTTTCTCTTAGGAACAATTTCATTAAAACAGTCATGATTGTTTATCAGTAGGTCATGGAATATAATCCTTTAAAAGTTTAACTTAGTCTCATTGAGACCTACTCGTAGCCATAGCATGAGAACAAGCAGTCTCCAACAAATTGCATATATTTTCTCGTTACTTTTTTTTCTTATCGACTCATTATCTTGAACCAGAAAAATCTAATCAAACATTAATAACAAAGAATTATTCAAACATCTATTACAAATTATTGAATTCTTTATTTTTAAAAACCGAAAACAAAATAAGACAACCATCAATGAAAACAATTTTAAGACTTTCTGTTCTTCTGATCATGTTGATGGAATTATTGGAGTCGAAGCAATATCATTTTTTGCTCGAATTTCTTTGAAATGATCAACTAATTTTTTTGCCAACGTCTTAGAAATCTTATGATGAAATCGTAAATGATGATTTAATGCATTAAATAGAATTATACGACGTGAACATGGTATATTTGCTATATTTTTTTGACGGTATTCTGGTGAATTAATTCGTCCTTTAAAAAAAGGACATAAAACTTTATAAAAATGATCAATTACATCTTCACTTTCATTAAATAATTTTGTTATCCTAGGATCTTGATTATCGGCAACAGCTCGTATCAAACGTTGAGCATAAACTTCTTTTAATTTATGCTTATTAATGAAATGTTGATATAATCCGATTCGATAATTTTTTTCATAATCACAGAATTCAATAGAATGATTTGCTTGAGTAAGACCATATGCTCCATCAAATGTTAATGGACACTCGTCAAAAATCTTTCTCCATAATGTTCGTTCAAGTTTCTTTTGTTCTTCATTTACATGTTGATCCTGAAAAAAAAAACATAATGAATGTTTAAATACCATGCAGGATTCATTTCATAGAAAATAAAATTAATTTAGACGTATACAAAGGACAACAAACTGAGTTTATAATAGTTATCTTATGATGTTGACTTGAATACAGAGAAGCATAACAATATCATGAAGGATGAAGTATAATATTCATGGAAACTGAATTCATATAGTATTTGATCGAAAACGAGGTGTTTTGCATTAAAAATAGAACTTCGCTACGAGACGACAATATTTAAATAGAAAATTCGTATTCTGCTTAATTACCTTGAAGAGCAAATCTGTGAGATACGAATGTTTTACACATTCGATAAAGGATAAATACGAACAGTAAACTGTTCTTTTAGAATTTCATTAATTCAGAAGTTTGCTTTTCTACATAATCTGTATTGAACGTACCGTTTTTATTTTATACACTGCTGGTATTTTTCTAATTAGACCATTTCTTGTCACTAGATTTAGAACAAAAGGAAGCGGCGCTTTTTCTATGAGCTATACTGTACTCCCTCTACACACAGTTTTTTTTTCGTTTGCCTATTTTTTGATTGAGGATCATATGAAGATATGAAATCAGTGAACCAGATCTTGAACATTTTTGATATTAGTGAGAAACTTAATACTTTAGAAAAGAGCCATTTTCATAGGAAATATCATAAAAATGGGTAATATTTCGAGACTTTGACTATTGAAAATCGATTTGTATGAAAAATAAGCGTGATATTCGGAATCAATATGCAAAAATGTATCAGAAACTATTTTTCGTCGTGAAATTTTTCCATCGAAATTTTGACCCGTAGGGATAGAGGTTAAAGTTTTAGGAATAGGTGGTTGAGGGGAAGTAGAGGTAAAATTTCGATGGAAAAATTTTATGATGAAAAATAGTTTCTGATACATTTTTGCATGTTGATTCCGAATATCGCGCTTATTTTTCATACAAATCGACTTTCTATAGTCAAAGTCTCGAAATATTACCCATTTTTATGATATTTCCTATGAAAATGGCTCTTTTCTAAAGTATTAAGTTTCTCACTAATATCAAAAATGTTCAAGATCTGGTTCACTGATTTCATATCTTCATATGATCCTCAATCAAAAAATAGGCAAACGAAAAAACACTGTGGGGAATAGACGCCAGTTTCTGTAGCCGAGAAACATCAATTTCATGGTTCCTAATTTAAGCAAACAGAAAATTTTTGAATTAGACCTCTTCAAATGCCAACAAGCTTAGTATTTCGAACTATCTTTAGACACAAATCTGAATAGATACCATGTAATAGAATATATACACGTTTATCCCGAGCACAAAGCTGCAAAGAGAAACGAATACAACTACCACAATATGCAGAAAATCTCTTTTTTCTGTGATTACACAGAAGAAAAACTGTTGAACCACACCGAAATTCGATCCGTCGACTCCGATCTTTTCGAGACTTGATTTCATATTTATATAGTGACGCTATTAAGAATACGTTTATTATTGTTTCTTTTGAACAATGTTCGATAACAACAAATATGAATCTATTCGATTCACTTTTGAACAAATTAGAGCAAGAGATGTCGAGTTCTAAGTTATACTGCTATGTCTAATGAATAATTAGATAGGGCAAGCTAATACGTGATATATTTCAATTCAAAAACTGACTTTATCAACTCTTCCATGAATCTAATTATTTTTACCTTAACAGATTTTGTTGTTTCACTAAAAGAAAGAAAAATATGAAATCGGTTTCGGATCTTTTCTAATAAAAAAGAAAAAGAAACTTACTCAGATGAATTCGTATCCATAAAATCATGATTGATATACGTTGAACATCTATTATCTTAAATCAATCATGCTTGTTTTTCTTTTTAAAGTTAAAGAAAATTTAACTTACCTTTGGAGATTTCCAATTCTTCTGCTACATTTAAAACATACAAAAAACATATATTTTGAAGACTTTCTGTTTTTGATCTTACGAGGGAACTACATGAATTGATCTCCACCAATTGAACTTACATTAGGCCAACGACAAAAACCCGCTAAGAGTAGAAAAGGCTTGAAAGGAATTGCGTCCATGAGCCGATTCAGTGAATTTTCAATCCATCTTTCAGTATTTCTTCAAAAATAAAGTAACGGAATTCCGAAAAGAAAAAGTTCATTCATCAAGATATTAAATTTGCAATAAATAGGCATTGGCCATAGAAATATGGTCAAAATCATATTTACTTAGAAATGCAATATCTCGATAAATGAAAGTTTTTGTTTGAACTGAAACTTTCAGACTATTTCAAGACTTATCAGATTTTCATGTCTATGGACACTTGCAGGTCGAAAATTCGATAAAAGTTATAACTGGGCTCATTAACTACAACACTTTTAAGATTTTCTACTTTTACTAAGAAATTTTTTTTTTGATGTCAATATGAGTTCAAATGACGATTCAGTTCAACTAGATCCCTCGTTAGGTATCGGTATCTATAGTTCGATCGAAACAAATATGGAATGGACAAAACAAAAAATATTTTACTTATGAAGAAGTATTTCTCAATGGTGATTAATCTATTACAATTCAATTTAAATTCACTAAGAGAAAAATATTATTTTACCATTTGAATTCATGTGTTCCATATTACATTTGTAAACACAAGAACAATATTTAGTTTCTGATAATGA